ATGGATCATTGGCTGCCTAAAGATGTGCAACTATAATTTCCGACCATCGTTTATAGTTGTTTCGACATGAAATAAACCAATTGTTGAGGCATGTCAGTCTGAGACGAGCCTACCTTGAAAACTGCTAATGCGAAAGAAAATGGCCGCGATCTTTCAGACTGTAAAATTTAATACAAGTCCTCACAGCGGAGCGTGCTTCCCGTAATGCTTTGAACACCAATATTTCAGCATTTGTTGGCGGACCTGTGCACACCTCTTCTGTCGGTATCTCTATGAATGAGCGACTTACAAAAGGTGACCTAGGGAGATTCCCCTTTTTTCTGCAACGTGCCTTGTCCATGAATAAGAGAGGGTTTGGCTCGCCGATTAAGCCATCCAACAAGTAGGTCACAGTCTGCCCGGGTTGGTGCGAAGTTAGAATTCTGCGCGTGGCCCGCTGGCAGTTCTCACAGAGATATCGACCCTGGCGATTATTCAAAGAGCCGGCGCAATGGGTGCTTTACCCACTGACCGGCCGGCGGCGGGCGGGGCGCAACCATTACCGGCGGGCTAAGGACACGCGGCCGGCCGGCCAGTTCCTGCCGCCCGGCCGTAACGAGCCGCGCTAACACGTCCCAGACGGGCCGACAATGGAGGGGCGAGCTGCCAGACGGCACCGCCACAGCACAAAGGCTCCACGGGGACTCGAGGGTGTCGGCCGGTGGCCCTGTCTGTCGACCCGACGTCGGCACCGCACCCATGACTACAAGGGCTCCGCGCCAAAGGAACTCGACCCACACCCCGTGCCACACATTCAGAGATGAGCAGTGGGAGACGGCTGACCATCACGGTCGGGTCTTCAAGTCCGCAGACCCCATTAACGTTTGAGGAGCTGCGGTCTGACAAAAGTGAAAGGATTGGGCACAATAGATCTGAAGTTATTGTGCAGCGGCCTGAGAGCATTGGTGTTCAGATATCTGGGCTAAGTCAACACACAAACTGATTTATCGTCACTAGAGTCACGTGGCCTCACTCACGGCCTCATTATGCGACTGATTCGTGCAAAAAATTACAATTACGAAAATTAAAGGAGAGAAAGAGAGAATAGAATACTAGAGCGACAGAGTAGAAAAAAACGAGATAGAGAGAGAGAGAGAGAGAGAGAGAGAGAGAGAGAGAGAGAGAGAGAGAGAGAGAGAGAGAGAGAGAGAGAGAGAGAAGAGAGAGAGAGAGAGAGAGAGAGAGAGAGAGAGAGAGAGAGAGAGAGAGAGAGAGAGAGAGAGAGAGAGAGGGCGTGAGGGTGAGGGACAGTTTAAAACTCACACTTGTAACCGCAGGTTGTTTCTTCATTGACAAACACTATTCGTTAGAATTGTGTTTTTCTATTGAAAAACAACCGGAGCGGTCCTTCTCCGGGCTATGTTTTGCATGTCTGGCCGCGAATTGGGGCAACTTGAGTCTGGCCTAAACGAATCGCTCAATCTTCGTAAAAATTTCAGGGTATGGGCTCCAGCAGGCGATCTACCTGATGGCACCGGTCGCTACTCGCTTAAAACCTCGTGGCACGTGGCACGTGCGTTTCAATTTTCGCCCATGTTAAGTCAACGGGGTTTTGGACACTTTTTGCGCGATCGCGAATAGCGGAAATATAGAGTGGAGGAGTCGGGGAGGGGCAAAGACCCGACCAGTAATAAAAAGGATCAAAGGGAAGCGGATAGCGATACAACTTTCAGTACCTTCGTGTTGAACAACCTTGCACCTACTCAAAGTTTCATGGGCTGGCTCTGCCCCAAATGAGCCTTGAGCTGCGACCTCTTTCTAGAGACCATGTCGGAACAGAATGGCGATTCGACGCATGCCGATTTTCCAGACTTTTGTAATGATAAATCTACCAACACGTGGTATGATGTGTCCCATGGATAATGGTGAGTGCCAGTGTCACGTGGAGGTCAGGTCAAAGTTTGATTAACCTTTGCTGACCTCAGTTGACCTTTTCAGCTTTCCATACAACTTTTTGTGGTAGTTTTTGGAACCAGATTTCCAATTCAGCAATCAGTTCACATTTGGGAATTACTTTATAGCCCACGTAGGTAACATGCATCGGAGGATCAGTAGTGGAAAATGCCTTACGAAGGGGCATTAAAGGGACCCTCCCGGCTCCCACCTTCAAAAAAGTTTATGAATTGGCATGAAAGTGATGTCGCTCGGTTCAGAAAGAGCGAAAATGAATATCTACCAAATTTCACCGAAAAATATTCACCGGTTTTCAAGATATTAGACTTTTACTTCTGTTTACTTTTTGGGATCTCCGCTGTTCCTAGCGACTTTATTTGGAAGCAATAGTTTGGCAGCTGAAAGTGCGGCACTTGTTGCGCGCAAAGCAGCATATACCCGCGTGCTACAAAACGTTTTAGTCAAACATTTAAAAATCGTTAGATATCTGCGTTGACGTCACACATTCGAGGGGTATTCCTATGCATTAGCCCCTCTGAATCAAAATGCTGCAATTTTGAAATTCAATATTTCCGATTTAAGGCATTTCTCGATGTTGTGAGCAAGGCCATCTATAGAAGGTACAGTCACTCCCCCGCCGACCAATCAGAGACAGATCCTGAGTGACGTCACCCCTGATGCTCAAAAGGGGTACTCCATTCCTTTACAACGTAAAAATGACTAACTTCATTTGAAGATTGTTGGTGACACTCTACACATATCGCTCAACGATCGATGTCATTAGAAAGTCCAACTAATTCTCTAGCGATAAAAAAGAGCAGCAATATGCTAAGAAATGGCCGGTTTTGAAGATATAGACGATTTAAAAACCCTCTGCAGTTGCAGGAAAGCAACGTAAAAACGCATCGAGCTTATATTTTTACTATGAATAAATCATTTTTCAGTAAGTTTTTAGATATGGTATCGATTTATTCAACAATTTTATTACAATATTTTTATTACTTGGAACTTTATTTCAAAATAATATTTTCAAAAATGGCAACTGTTGGCAAGTAGCTTTGAAGCGATTGTGGCGCGCCGCGCCATTATTGTCCTGAGGCCCCCTTATGATGTCATCAAAAGTGGAGTGACATGGGCCTGGTTGTGAGTGCCGAAACCGGTAATTGTGAGCCAGGGACCCCATTTTGGCTATGTCAACTCAAATCTAATGTTAAGGTGGGAGGGTCCCTTTAACCCTCGCCCCGTTGGGGGGGGGGGCATTTTGCCCCCCCCCCTGTGGTTTTTCCTGAATAGCAAGAAAACGGCGGCGCGCAGCGGCGCCAAATTTTCAGTACCTTCCCGGGCATCAATTTGACACATTCACACCAAATTTCAAGTCTTAGGTCACCTTAGGTCAGGAGTTATTGAGGTCAAACTGAGGTCATGTTCGAGCAAAAATGAGCAAAAAACATGCAATCTTGAAACGCTCACCAAATCTACAGTTATCAAGCAATTTTAAAGTTTTTTATATGGTCTAGTAGACAAAAAGCGGCGCTACAAAACTGCTATCTCGGATTTTCAAAATTTTGGGTTTTTGACCAAAAAAAATCAAAAAATTGATTTTTTTTTAGAAAAACTAAAGAAAAATCCAAAAATTTTCCGAATTTCGAAAAAACCGGAATATATGTGATAGTCCCTGCGCTCTTCTATAAACATACCAAATTGCAGATCGATATCTCGTTTTTTGGCCAAGTTATAGCGAAAAAACTGTTCCAAAATGATGACGTCAAATTTTTGAACTCAATTTTTAGCGATTCTAGACCTCGTACGGCAAAACAAAGACCACCATTGAACTCCCCGTGACGAGCTGCATCGATTCGATACCCGTTTTATGCAAAAATATCAACTTTGAAATTTGATCTAATTTGACCTGACCTTGACCTGACCTTGACCAAAACGTGACCTAAGCTGGCCCCAAAGGCTGCCTGACCCACATAATCGCATTTGTCATGTAAAATGGACCATAAAACATGTATCACACGACACTTTCATATTGTGACCCCCCAGTGACCTGACCTCTGTGACCTGACCTGGTATCAGTGACCTCAAATAGCAAAATATGTGTTTGAAGAACATTTCCCCATCGATGATTTTCAATGAAATGCATTTTACTCGATTTTACAACGCATTTCTTGAAATGCCTGTAAACGGTGAAAATTGGACCTTTGACCTGACCTGTGACGTCATCGGTTTGACCTAGGTCAATAAAATTGGGTCACAAGGTAGTTCCCCGTTAGGGCTATCCAACATCGTTTGCCGCTTGTCGCTAGGGGGGGGGGAAATGCCCCCCCCCCCCCAACAGGGCGCGTTGCTCGGCAGAGCCCATCGGGGCGCGGGTTAAAATAGGACGAGGGGAAATAGAACGAGGAGGAGCAGGAGCTCTCCTACAAATGGGACGACAGGCGCGGCCCCGTTGGAGGGAAATCCGAATAAAAAAATGCAGAAATATGATCTTTTCACATGATGTTCACAAGACAAATGTTTACTTTATAGAGTTCAGAATTTAGTGGCGGCTCCGGACCATAATGAAACAAATCGCGTTGAATAAATTTTGTAGACTAAAATATACAGCCTAAAAACTCTTTCCGCAGTCAGGAAATCGCATACGAGAGCCTATTCAAATACATTATCTCACGCTCGCATCAATCGTACCGTACGCGATTGCCGCATGCGATTGATGCGGGAATGATTATAATGTATTTGAATAGGCTCTCGCATGCGATTTCCTGACGGCAAGAGTTTGTTTCAGCCTTAAATGTGCTCTCCGCGCGGAACTCCAACAGAACTATAGGTTTCTCCTAAATTGGTGCAGAGATGTCGTCACCAGGGAAATAAAGCAATGAATAGCGAATACCAAAAGCATTTTTATTAGTGACCGAGGATGCTGTTAAAAAAAAGGGCCGGGGATGACCACTAATCTGTGGTGATAAAGATCATTATAAAAAACAACAGTAGACGGCAGTGACTTCCAGCTGTTAGTACTACCACATAAATGACATCCTACTAGTGCCACCACTAAATAATACAGCTTTTTGTTCAACCGACATAATTATTATTATTTCTGACCAGCATTTAGCTGACACATCACAAAACACCACATAGCGTCCAGTATGCAGACAACGTGACAGCAGCGTTCATCATATCATTTTGTACACTTCCATCGTCCATTGGTCACTCCCATGGTGGCAGTGCCTGACGAGGTGCCTCTCTTATGGTGACCTGACCGACTCGTCCCACCATGTAAGTACTAGCTGCACACCAGGGACACAGCGCCTCAACCCCACCACGGTCGACGGTAGAAACACAGCGGTTCTACCCCCGCGGGCCCGCGGCTCCAGTTATCCGGATAGAAGCGCTCCGCCTCGTCACAGAAGCACCTCCTCCCCTCCCCAGCCCCGGGTGACAGTCGCGCTGACCTGTCACATCACCAGGGTGCCCTCGGCCATCTGATGCCGCAGCGAGGTCAGCTGGGAGGCCACCTCCTCCTGCTCCAACTCCTCGGCACTGGGGTGGCTCATACGCGCCGACACTCGCTCCAGCAGCTGGCTGTACAGCAAGTGGCACGGTATCACTCCGCGGTGGGTCTGTGAAAACAGACACAACACACGTCAGCGGTCAGAGGGGTAGTGGCCTCGCTGTAACCTCTTCATTAACCCTCGCCCGCACATGGGGGGGGGGGGGTGGTTGCCACCCCCCCCCCAGGCAGTCTTTCTGCTCTGCACTCAACATTTTTAGAGCTAGAAGGCTGATTTTTCGTATAGCTGCTCGTCTATCCTTTCTTGATGTCCACTGAAAATTTCAAGTTTCTGTGATTTTTGGTTTCGGAGATATGACCTTGTTTTTCAGGTCATGTCATGACCCAAATGGCCAATTCTCAACATCTTGCGTTTGCCATGGGCCTTGTGAGCTTTTGACACCCTGATTTCGGCCTTTTTTGCCAGTCTTACCTCCCACCTATCATGGAACATGTTGTTCGACGATGTACAGGGGTCAAGGTCAGGGTCAAGGTCAACCTAGGTCATCTAAGATAATTGCGTTTTAGGCAAGCTGAATTTATTTTTTGTGAAGTTTTTTGACTGCATTTTTGGTAAAAGCTTCTCAGATCATGATTTCATGTGATATGGACCCAAAAACAATCGGTGCACACATCAGTATACACACAGACACACACAGACATACAAACACATATAATTGACCTTGACCTAACTTGACCTGGAATGACCTCAGCAGCAAAATTCTGGTCGGATAGTGTGACAAAGAGGTTCTAGCTGGCTTGGCACCAGAAAACAGCATCGTCATCGGTATTTGATAAGCAGCGCACTTGATATCCAACGGTGACCCAAAACAGCAATATTTTTTAGTTTGACCTGACCTGGAAGGTCAATGATTGACCTGAGAAGGTAAAACTGGGTATCATTGGATTCGTCTCTTCCCAAAGAATCTTTTTGGTCTTTACTGCTAAGCTCTATCTCCAACAGGAACGAAATGGCGCGGGGTGGTGGTGGCAACCCCCCCCCCCCCCATGTGCGTTCTAGGATGGGAAAATGGCATGTGCGGGCGAGGGTTAACAGACAGTCAAAATGGGTGAGGTTCCTGAGCGCTGTCCATGGAGCCAATGACGACGGTACCGGCCGCCACACGGGCAGCATCGCCGAATCAGCGACATCTATACACAAAACGGAAACTGTACGTTCTCCTGAATGCTGTATGATGTAATAAAAATGAAATCCTCTGACAGCGTTTTATTATAGGGGGTTAAATAAGGATAAAATGTTACCGGGACTGGAAGACTACAAGTCCTCGTTAGAGACTGTCAGTGCGGGTATTCAGCCGAACACTGACCTGGAGGGCGTCTCTGAGGTGCCACAGGTTCACCGACTGCCGGGGTGTCACCGTCTGGTCTCCGCAGGCCAGCTGCTGCATAGCCCGCCGCTCGGCCTCGGCGTCACCGACCTGCGCCGCCGGCTGTGACCTGGCGACACGACACACGGGTCACACGGGCCGCGCCGCCGGCGGCCGGTTAACGAACCCCAGCTCGGCGCCGGCCGCAACGGGGCACAGGTCATCGACTGGAGATTAATACCGATAGCCATACGGCCCGGGTCGGCGACCACTCCGTGTCCAGAGGCCGTTTCTGCGCTGTGGTGACCGCGCGGACCATAACAGAGCGGAGAACGACCCGCATTAAACTGCAGGTGACGAGAGAATACGAAACAGCAGACAAGGCCGAATGAAAGGGAACCGAGATGGCTGATGACAAACGCGATAGTACGACACCCTCTCCTCTCTCCTCTCGGCTCTCCATCCCCTCTGCACCCACTCCCGCCTCCTCACCCGTCAGGCGGCGGCGGTAGGCTGGCGGTGTTCCTCAGGTATGGGTTGGGCGCGCCGGTGCCAATGCCGTACAGGAACCGCCCGTTCCTCAGTCGGTAGCCGCTCTTACGGCTCAGGACGGAGGTGAGCACGTTCTTCAGACATTGCTGTGGGTGGAGAGAACACGTAGTTCAGAATAGAGATCAGCGCGTTATTGGTGTGTTGCTGTATTGCTGTGCCGATCAGCATTGCTGCAGGTACAGAGTCCGTGAGAAGCGGGTTACTCATTAAAGCATCGAGAATGACAGGAACAGATGGGTTAAATGATGAATGCATTTCATTGCAAATATGCCTGACCGTGCGAAGATAGCAGTTTGCCTGTCCAGGTAAATAACTCCAAGTGTCCATGACGATGACACCAATGTAATGGGCAATTTTTAGCAACAGAGTTCACAACCACTTAGCTGTCTAAAAATACACGATCACTTATCATCTTTATATTACAACACACCGCGTTTCGCCATCGCGATAGCGTCCATCCTGACCCAGCACCACCATTTGACCTGATCCGGCGCGTTCGCGGTCAAGCGGCCCATCTGTTGCCCAGGGCACGTCTGCGCAATACGGGGCGCCGCCCGCAGTCGGCGCACGCTCGGGCCGTCCGCGGGGTAACCCGTTGTCACCGTTAACACCCCGGGGTGCCGATTGACCGGTCAGCCGGGGGACACTGACCGAGCAGAGACCGTGGCCAGGCCGGTCAGCGGGTGGTCTGTCCAATTACCGTGACACCCACCCCTCACGGCCGGGGCTGTCACAACCGGCCACCAGAGACCGGCGGCGCCCTGTCTGCCCGTCACGACAGGCGGCGGCGCGTGCTGCTGGGCCGCCCCCTCCACACCCTCAATGGGTCGTGGCCCGGAGACAATACCGCGACCCTCGGCTGTCGTCAGTCCCCTCACTCACCGAGTAATTACAGCATCCAGTGTCGGAAAACGTAACAGCTACCTCCCCCGATATCGATCGAAAATAGATCAACTGGACTACCTTGACCCAACCACATCCACAAATCACTGCCAGAAGTGTCTTATCGGCGGCCTCCTTCGCACCCCTGTCTACCCACTTCCTGCATATATTGCCTTACACGACGTTCCCAAAGACGGTCAGGCAGCTTCATAAGCATCTTACAGCGACCTCTCTCGGAGCCCCTACTTACTTTTATGCGTATGTCCTACATTTTTAGCGCATATTATTCTATGCATCCATTATATTTACACCACTCCTCTGTGTCTTAATAGTTTCCAAGTACCCTCTAATACACAATCAGTCAAACTACGCGCTGATTCTCTATACCCACAGTCATCGCCCAGCCACCCCAAGTCCTCACCTGCACTGCCAGCATGACAACATCCACAGCATTGTCCGCCACCGAGTCTAGACCGGCCTGCCAGGCGGCCAGATACATCCTGCCGTGCACCAGTCGCCGGTCGGGCAGCTGGCGTCGTCGTTCGATCAGCAGTGAGCCGTCCGCGGCGGCGGGCGGCAGCTCCGGAGGCGGGGTGGCACGCACCGGCGGAGGGACCGCCTGCGCCGGATCCGCCGGCTCGTAACGGTGCTGACGGATGGAGAGGAGGACGGTTGGACAAGCGGATGGACATACAAGTGGCTAGACTATCAGAGACACGGTCTTCATCAGAGACACGGATAAGCGAGCACACGTACACCATGAAAACTCGGGCGCTTTGAGGCAGTATGAGATCATCGTAAATCAGGCTGAACAGTGAACATGTAACCAGAAAGGGTAATGTCAATCAGCAAACAAACGCGCTAACGCAAAAGCGGTGAAAACCGTAGGATAACGGGCACATACGGAGCGCTACGTTCTATTATTTGTTTGTACAGCCGATCTATGGATATGCGAAACGTGCCTATTGGCCGTGTCAGATGTGTAGCCTGCCCGAAAACTTATGTTCACCTCCTAGATAAGCGGACAGACGGACAGGGTAGCTCGGTGAGACCGGAGCAGGAAGGGGTTCGGTCGCTGCAGATCAGTTCACGCGGAGACCGTATCGGGCGCTCTGCACTATCGCCGGGTCAGTGGTTGTGTCAGAGGTCAGCCCTGGGGTCAGAGATCAGCCGAGGGGTCAGAGGTCGACCAGGGACCAACGAGTGAGTCGGCGGGTGGGCCGCGGGGAGTGACACGCCGGGTCGCCCCCCTGTCACGACCGGGGGAAGTTGGGCGTTGAAACTTCACCGACGGAAGTGTGCCTCAGTCGCGGATTGTGGTCGGATCAAACGACATTACGCAATGTCACAGAGAGCCCGTGCCGGGTCTCCACGGCGGCATTATGCAGAAATATGGCATAGTCACGTACCATCCTCTCCTCACATTCACATAAACTAGAGATGAATGAGGATGCAGGGATAGTCAGTGTGCCTCCCTCTTTATGACGACAATCAAACCACTGACAGAGCCCTTGTTACGTCGCGGTGACACAAGAGGGTCAAAGGCTCTAGATCAGCGAACTGGGAACCCTGGGAGGTCCAGCTCATGACCGCCATCACGTATCGCCGATACACAGCCTCGCGTGATAGCGTACTTCGATTCGTACCTCCTCGTGAGAGATAACTTATTGGGAACAGATAGCCAGGACGGCGAACAGCATGCATGGAAAAGGTCTGCAAAACTTATGACCGCGTGCAATGTCACGGGGCACCAGAGTTGTAGTCGAGAGATACGTGAGCGCAATATGTCTTGCTAGCCAATGACTTAGTACCATGTTCAACCATCGATAAAAGGCTCATTATGCTTGGTAGTACAGTGTGAGTGCAAATACTGTGTTGCACGCAGAATAAGATCAGATTCACTCGTCACAATTAAAAGAAATTATATGTTTTCCAATACAGACACAATAAGCATTGTTTCGCTGTTTCTAGATTTCCAAAAATAACACAAAACACAAACACTTCCAACCAGTCCAAACATATTGAAATTATAGACGTAACGTAAGGTTCTGTGTGTCGCTGGGATAGAGGGAGGGGCATTCCTGGTCACCCGTTCATGGGTGGCGATGTAGAAAAAAATAACTACGGGAAGATCGCACAATCAATATTGCGTCATCTACGGAGGGCGGAGCGCACTTTATATTGTGAAATCTTTCGTATTTACATCTGAAATCTAAATTTAAAAAAGCGAAGCGCGGATGACAATGAAGACTGAGGTTCCAGAGGACCGAAAACAGAAGGGAAATTTTCACAAAAATCACCATCCTCCCTTCACACCCCGCCAACCGATGAAACTAACGCAACCACCGTAACTAACCTGATCCATCCTCTCTGACCACACCGTGACCTACCGAGAACGGTGACGGCGGTCGTCGCTTGCGTTTCCTGCCGAAGGTTCGCGTCTGGTTCTTGATGAGCGCCACCTTCTCCCTGATCTGGGCAGAGGAGGACGTACTGGTGTCCTCGGCGGGCACGTCGCTGGAGCAGAGAGGGACGGTGAGCGGTGGGTCACAGTGGCGGGAAGTGACGAACATGACAGGGTTACCACTTGCCAGAGGTCATGCAAGTGAAGTGTGGTTCAAACAGTTCCCTTGTCTGGATATAGATAAACAGTGGTCATACATACCCCAGATTGCACTTGTTGAGAAGTGCCAGAAGGAAGTTGTTGTGTAGATGGACCTGGCCAGATGGGAAGAGCCATCTTGATTTGGTGTCAAATTCCTCCTTGGATATCTGAAAAAAAAAAAACATTCATAAATATCTTAAACAAATGAATTAATTCAGATACAAAACAAATCAAATAGAAAGCATTTATGCTTTTCATCCAGTTCAATGCATTCCTTCTACATAGTGATACCTATGTGATGGATGACTGCCTTAAAGGAATGAACTATTTGAGTGGACTTCGTGCACTGAGCCACAGACTTCTCTATATATAGAGAAGTCTGTGACTGAGCCAATGCCATGTCTGTCCCAAGATTCTTTCAGATAGTCTGTCCCATCCACATTTATATCACCAGTATAACGCCTTTTGGGGCGACTAACGGAGCGAGCGAGGGGGTGAGTCTTGCACGTGCGAAATTTCGAGGGGGTACCTCCAACTGACTTGTGCACGGCACCCTACTGACCGGTTTCTAGCGATGTGCCAAATTTGAGCACAATCGGCCCAGCCGTTCTCGAGATCTGGGAGCGGCACCCTGCACGTGCACACGTGCAAAATGGGTCCCAACTGACCTGTACACGGCACCCTACTAACTGGTCCCTAACTGTGTACCAAATTTGAGCGCCATCGGTCCAGCCGTTCTCGAGATCTGGAAACGACCCCTGCACGTGCGCACGTGCAGCAGCACCCCAACTCTGGCACATGGATATGCAGTGCCTAGTGGGTGCCTACCTACATACCAACTTTCAGCGCAATCGGCCAAGTAGTTACCGAGATATTGCAACAATTACAAAACTGACACCTCTTCGTTTTGCACGTGGCACGTGCATAAGGGGTCACCCACATGCATCGGGAATAGTCCAATACTTGGTAGAAGGAATGAAGCTACCCTACAAAAATTACCGCATGTAAATCGGTCAAGTGGTTGCTGAGATATAAGCCTCGCAAAAGCGTCCGCACGGCCGGCCGGCCGGCCGGCCGCTCATACTCAGAAATTTCCGTTATTCTACGTAAGACTCCGCTCGCTTTGCTCGCTCCGTAAAAAGGGACTATTGCCATGACATGTGAATACCATTCTTTACAATGTGCTGGCAAACAGACTATGTCATTGACAATATACCAGCAAAATCATGACATTACCACAGGAGCATTCACCAGTAGCATCTGAGTAGATAAAAATAATGGTGGCATCAAAGCTGTATTTTACTATCAGAATCATATCATGCTTTTACCAACCATGGACTTACCTTAACTTTGAACCATAGTTTGAGATTATTGAAGTACCTGTAATGCAAGGTTCAGCAGTCAGGCCCAAAACATATACTAAACCACATCACAAAAAAAAACAACAAATCTACCAATTTAGAAGCTTAAAAGAGTCAATTTTGAATAACAATTGGTTAACATGCAGGCGAAGTACCATTTACTTACTGCTTAGTTCCTTCTTCACCTAGGGCAGCCTCCAGTTCATGTCTTGCTTTGTTCAAATCATCCATTACAGATGCCAGGGGATCTCACAAAATGTTGATACTGTGACTTGTCTTATCCTTCTCTGCAAAGAAAATGCATCAGCAATTTAGTCATGGATTGCATAATATCAAAACTGTTGTTGAAAAATATTGTTGAAAAAATATTGTTGAGGCTGACTCAAACGTGGTCAGCCTCAACAAGTCAACAGTCTGAACTAAGACATTTGCTATGACAGTACCAATTAATATCATTTCTTTTATAATTAATTAGCTCAAGCTAGCCTTATTTAACTTTTTTTCTCAATTCATTTATCAATTTTTCTGAATTCTCAGACCAAACCAAAACAGTCCTTAGATGGTAAAAGTAAAGGTGATGAGCTTCAATATACCATAGGATGAAACACAGTTGAATAAAAATATTTGATGTCATCAACTTACTACTAATACAAAACTAAAAATATAAATATTTTACCTAGGGTCTGTTCCCGTCGCTCCTCCCAAAAAATCTCGGATGAGGTTGGATGAGCTTGGAGGAGAGCCGTTTCAGAGGAGCCACGGGAACATTTTCGCGAGGAAATCAGCTGTTTGCGGGCTGTAACGGTTGGCGATTTATGGCGCGCAAACATAAATCAAGAGATAATAATCGCTTTCTAATAAAATAACCTTAGATTAATATCAAACATTACTATTTAAAGATATCCAATCGTCATGAATCACTAAAATCATTTCCACTTCCCTCAAATCTCATTTATAAACAATTCACATTTATATTACGTGCGCCAAATATGTCTACGCAAGAGCCTCCTCCAAAAAACCAACTTTCGTTTGGGATGAGGGAGGAGGCAAATAGTGGTGGTGAGATGTGAAATCAAGATGAGCTTGGAGGAGCTTGGAGGAGCGACGGGAACGATTTTTTGAAACGATAGGAGGTTAGAGGAGCTTGGAGGAGGTTAGAGGAGCGACGGGAACAAACCCTAACTAACGCGCTGCTCCTCTCTGGATGTTTTAGTAAACTTGGTCATATATGACGCAGGTGTTACAATTTACAACAAGGGAAAGTTCATTGCATCATGTATATATAATATACTTACGTCATAAGTTTCAAACGAATTATCATAGCGATATCCTAATGCTCGTCTTTATATCCATTTCTAAGTGTCATTTGTTGTTTTACATATTACTCATATCACGCAGATTGAATAGACAAAAGTTTAGGTGATTTAATTTCATTTTACGAAAAATCAGGCTCACATGGGTAATATCTATACGTTGACTAGCAAGTTAAAACTAATGACGTTTTACACGTACTAAAATCAACCGTATCCGTATATACGGCCCTGCACCACATGAGATTTTGTGGCGGATGTGTGTATGGGTATAATTTTTATTTCTGCAATTCAAATTCACGCTGCAATTGATTGAACGTTTTTTGCTCTACGACAAAAGAAAGACTCAGGTTTCGTCGTGCGCACTTTTCCTCGTTCTCCATAGAAGGTAGAACGTGCCAGCCTCTAACAATAAGAGTTTGTGTGCAATGTGCAGTGCGGTGACAGATTGCCATTTAGGTACCTATCACTCTCCTCCATGCTATCACTATGACATTTATGTAACGGAAGTTGGCACAGATTCAGCACAGATTCAGCACAGCACAGATTCGGTAGGGGGAAAAAAGGCCCCGGTAGAGGGAAACCTTTATGACCCGTTTTCCCCTAGAAATGACGTCACAAAGAGGTAAAAATGGGTATCAATCGAAAGTTCTCGTTTACCCAGACACAGTCCTGCAGGAAAATTTCACTTTTTCCCCATAGGAAAGTTTGTACGGGAAAATCAAAATTTTGGGTCAATGGGGGGTCCCCCCGATTTCGTTCAAAATCGGCACACAGGTGCCCCACCACCAGCCGAGAAACTTTCCCCAAAACGGTCCCCGTTGCATTGACGTTTAAGGCCCGTAAAGCCCCCTAGACTCGTAAAATATCCGTAAAATCGCCTTTGTACGGACAAAAAAGTGGTGCTATGGTAAAAATGGGTATCAATCGAAAGCTCTCGTTTACCCAGACACAGCCCTGCAGGAAAATTTCACTTTTTCCCCATAGGAAAGATTTTACGGGAAAATCAAAATTTTGGGTCAATGGGGGGTCCCCCCCGATTTCGTTCAAAATCGGCACACAGGTGCCCCACCACCAGCCGAGAAACTTTCCCCAAAACGGTCCCCGTTGCATTGACGTTTAAGGCCCGTAAAGCCCCCTAGACTCGTAAAATATCCGTAAAATCGCCTTTGTACGGACAAAAAAGTGGTGCTATGGTAAAAATGGGTATCAATCGAAAGCTCTCGTTTACCCAGACACAGTCCTGCAGGAAAATTTCACTTTTTCCCCATAGGAAAGTTTGTACGGGAAAATCAAAATTTTGGTTCAATGGGGGGTCCCCCCGATTTCGTTCAAAATCGGCACACAGGTGCCCCACCACCAGCCGAGAAACTTTCCCCAAAACGGTCCCCGTTGCATTGACGTTTAAGGCCCGTAAAGCCCCCTAGACTCGTAAAATATCCGTAAAATCGCCTTTGTACGGACAAAAAAGTGGTGCTATGGTAAAAATGGGTATCAATCGAAAGCTCTCGTTTACCCAGACACAGTCCTGCAGGAAAATTTCACTTTTTCCCCATAGGAAAGATTTTACGGGAAAATCAAAATTTTGGGTCAATGGGGGGGTCCCCCCCCCGATTTCGTTCAAAATCGGCACACAGGTGCCCCACCACCAGCCGAGAAACTTTCCCCAAAACGGTCCCCGTTGCATTGACGTTTAAGGCCCGTAAAGCCCCCTAGACTCGTAAAATATCCGTAAAATCGCCTTTGTACGGACAAAAAAGTGGTGCTATGGTAAAAATGGGTATCAATCGAAAGCTCTCGTTTACCCAGACACAGTCCTGCAGGAAAATTTCACTTTTTCCCCATAGGAAAGTTTGTACGGGAAAATCAAAATTTTGGGTCAATGGGGGGTCCCCCCCCCGATTTCGTTCAAAATCGGCACACAGGTGCCCCACCACCAGCCGAGAAACTTTCCCCAAAACGGTCCCCGTTGCATTGACGTTTAAGGCCCGTAAAGCCCCCTAGACTCGTAAAATATCCGTAAAATCGCCTTTGTACGGACAAAAAAGTGGTGCTGTGGTAAAAATGGGTATCAATCGAAAGCTCTCGTTTACCCAGACACAGTCCTGCAGGAAAATTTCACTTTTTCCCCATAGGAAAGATTTTACGGGAAAATCAAAATTTTGGGTCAATGGGGGGTCCCCCCCGATTTCGTTCAAAATCGGCACACAGGTGCCCCACCACCAGCCGAGAAACTTTCCCCAAAACGGTCCCCGTTGCATTGACGTTTAAGGCCCGTAAAGCCCCCTAGACTCGTAAAATATCCGTAAAATCGCCTTTGTACGGACAAAAAAGTGGTGCTATGGTAAAAATGTGTATCAATCGAAAGCTCTCGTTTACCCAGACACAGTCCTGCAGGAAAATTTCACTTTTTCCCCATAGGAAAGTTTGTACGGGAAAATCAAAATTTTGGGTCAATGGGGGGTCCCCCCCGATTTCGTTCAAAATCGGCACACAGGTGCCCCACCACCAGCCGAGAAACTTTCCCCAAAACGGTCCCCGTTGCATTGACGTTTAAGGCCCGTAAAGCCCCCTAGACTCGTAAAATATCCGTAAAATCGCCTTTGTACGGACAAAAAAGTGGTGCTATGGTAAAAATGGGTATCAATCGAAAGCTCTCGTTTACCCAGACACAGTCCTGCAGGAAAATTTCACTTTTTCGCCATAGGAAAGATTTTACGGGAAAATCAAAATTTTGGGTCAATGGGGGGTCCCCCCCGATTTCGTTCAAAATCGGCACACAGGTGCCCCACCACCAGCCGAGAAACTTTCCCCAAAACGGTCCCCGTTGCATTGACGTTTAAGGCCCGTAAAGCCCCCTAGACTCGTAAAATATCCGTAAAATCGCCTTTGTACGGACAAAAAAGTGGTGCTATGGTAAAAATGGGTATCAATCGAAAGCTCTCGTTTACCCAGACACAGTCCCGCAGGAAAATTTCACTTTTTCCCCATAGGAAAGATTTTACGGGAAAATCAAAATTTTGGGTCAATGGGGGGTCCCCCCCGATTTCGTTCAAAATCGGCACACAGGTGCCCCACCACCAGCCGAGAAACTTTCCCCAAAACGGTCCCCGTTGCATTGACGTTTAAGGCCCGTAAAGCCCCCTAGACTCGTAAAATATCCGTAAAATCGCCTTTGTACGGACAAAAAAGTGGTGCTATGGTAAAAATGGGTATCAATCGAAAGCTCTCGTTTACCCAGACACAGTCCTGCAGGAAAATTTCACTTTTTCCCCATAGGAAAGATTTTACGGGAAAATCAAAATTTTGGGTCAATGGGGGGTCCCCCCCGATTTCGTTCAAAATCGGCACACAGGTGCCCCACCACCAGCCGAGAAACTTTCCCCAAAACGGTCCCCGTTGCATTGACGTTTAAGGCCCGTAAAGCCCCCTAGACTCGTAAAATATCCGTAAAATCGCCTTTGTACGGACAAAAAAGTGGTGCTATGGTAAAAATGGGTATCAATCGAAAGCTCTCGTTTACCCAGACACAGTCCTGCAGGAAAATTTCACTTTTTCCCCATAGGAAAGTTTGTACGGGAAAATCAAAATTTTGGGTCAATGGGGGGGGGGGGTCCCATTGATATTTTACGGATATTTTACGAGTTTAGGGGGCTTTACGGGCCTTAAACGTCAATGCAACGGGGACCGTTTTGGGGAAAGTTTCTCGGCTGGTGGTGGGGCACCTGTGTGCCGATTTTGAACGAAATCGGGGGGGACCCCCCATTGACCCAAAATTTTGATTTTCCCGTAAAATCTTTCCTATGGGAAAAAGTGAAATTTTCCTGCAGGACTGTGTCTGGGTAAACGAGAGCTTTCGATTGATACCCATTTTTACCATAGCACCACTTTTTTGTCCGTACAAAGGCGATTTTACGGATATTTTACGAGTCTAGGGGGCTTTACGGGCCTTAAACGTCAATGCAACGGGGACCGTTTTGGGGAAAGTTTCTCGGCTGGTGGTGGGGCACCTGTGTGCCGATTTTGAACGAAATCGGGGGGGGACCCCCTATTGACCTAAAATTTTGATTTTCCCGTACAAACTTTCCTATGGGGAAAAAGTGAAATTTTCCTGCAGGACTGTGTCTGGGTAAACGAGAGCTTTCGATTGATACCCATTTTTACCATAGCACCACTTTTTTGTCCGTACAAAGGCGATTTTACGGATATTTTACGAGTCTAGGGGGCTTTACGGGCCTTAAACGTCAATGCAACGGGGACCGTTTTGGGGAAAGTTTCTCGGCTGGTGGTGGGGCACCTGTGTGCCGATTTTGAACGAAATCGGGGGGGGACCCCCCATTGACCCAAAATTTTGATTTTCCCGTAAAAACTTTCCTATGGGGAAAAAGTGAAATTTTCCTGCAGGACTGTGTCTGGGTAAACGAGAGCTTTCGATTGATACCCATTTTTACCATAGCACCACTTTTTTGTCCGTACAAAGGCGATTTTACGGATATTTTACGAGTCTAGGGGGCTTTACGGGCCTTAAACGTCAATGCAACGGGGACCGTTTTGGGGAAAGTTTCTCGGCTGGTGGTGGGGCACCTGTGTGCCGATTTTGAACGAAATCGGGGGGGACCCCCCATTGACCCAAAATTTTGATTTTCCCGTAAAATCTTTCCTATGGGGAAAAAGTGAAATTTTCCTGCAGGACTGTGTCTGGGTAAACGAGAGCTTTCGATTGATACCCATTTTTACCATAGCACCACTTTTTTGTCCGTACAAAGGCGATTTTACGGATATTTTACGAGTCTAGGGGGCTTTACGGGCCTTAAACGTCAATGCAACGGGGACCGTTTTGGGGAAAGTTTCTCGGCTGGTGGTGGGGCACCTGTGTGCCGATTTTGAACGAAATCGGGGGG